ATTTAATAAATTTTCACATGATTTTTTCGAAAACGATTTTTTATTAATTTTATAGAATAACTATCTATTATTCATTCAGGATCTTATATTCATTCAGGAATTAGTTAAATTTATTAATTTCTATATTTAATAAACTATATAATATTTAATAAGTTATATATTGAATAAATTATACATTTATTAAATTTATTAGATTAGAATTAGATTTTTTTAAAAAAATATTATTTTTCTTTTTTAATATATTTTTATATATATTATGACTTATTGTTCCATCTTAAAACATTTTATACATATTTTTATTATTAAATTAATTTCGCTATAATAATTTATTATGTATAATTGTTTTTCTGTAACTTATTTATATAAATTATGATATAGAAGAATATTTTACATTCGATTTTTAATTATTAAGATAATTTTTTTAAATGCAAAATAGGATGCAATATATTATATAATCACGTTTACTTACAATGCGATATTGTGAAAGATTGCTTTGATACATATCCGGAGTGGGTGCATTTGGCGCGTGCGGTGGAGGAGGCGGAGGTTGTTGCAAATAAACATTCTGTTGACTAAATGAATTTTGAAGAGATGGCGCATATGGTGGCGCATATTGTGTGAAAGGAGAACGGCTCTGATCTAATTGAAATGCTCCATAGAGACCTCCTGCTTGAGCTGGAAGTTGACCGGAACCAGTATTAAATAATACAGCTGGCGGAGAAGGTATTGCAGACATGCTACCGTATTGTGCAGCTTGAGAGCCTGGATATTGAGGAAATTCCTGAAAAATAAAAATAAAATAATATAACTAATAAAACAACGAAAACAAAAAAAATATAATATAACAAAGCATATTAAATATATTGCTGGAGAATTATCCATTTGTCTATATAATAATACAAAATTAATATTACATGAATTATAAATTCCCAAATATATATATATTTCCAAAATAATCTGATCACCTGATAATTGATATGAGAAGGTTGTCCCGTAGAGTTGAATGGAGGTGGGCTCAATGGTCCTTGAAGACTGACAGGAGGATGTCCGATAGGACTTTGACCTGCTCCGATAGAACTCGGTCCAGGAACTGTTGAACCAGACTGGCTACTGCTACTGCCCGAAGATTGTTGCTGCGGCTTCACCTGCGGGGGAACCAGCTGCGCATCAGGCAAAGAGTCAGCATCTTCCCACAGGGGACATGGTGTTTCGTTATTTTTAGTTTTCTATTTACATCACTATCAACTGCTATTTTAATCGATGCTGACAGAACAATGTAAATTTTGTGATATGATTTTCTCTTTCTTTAAAAATTTGTTTCCGAAGTTTGGTGAAAATACTTAGGTTCATTGCTAATCGCATAAGTTTAATTAAGTAAAAAGAATCAATGATAAAAAAAACATTATTGATCAATCGAGAATAATAAAAGACGATTATTATTAAAATCAATGATAATATAGCTAACATGGATAATCTAGGAAAGAGGAAAAAATCACAATGAAAATGATAAATGACATCGATTATGAAAATGGGGATAATTGATATATAAAAAAATAAGTATTTACTTGATATTTATATTTGTTATAATTATATTTGTTATAATTTACAAAAGAATATAAAAATAAAAAAAAAATAAGAAAAAAATGATTTTCTAGTAAATGAAACAAAATTAAAACGATGCGTGTTAGCCACTTACCTTTCTGATTTTCACCATGATAACTATTTATAAAAAATATTTATTTCAAATATGAACAAAGAACATTCAAATCGGTGAAAATAATAAGATGAACAAATTATAAAAAATTTTCTTAATTTATAACAAATTTATAATTTAACATCGAGTCAATTTCTAGTGATGTAATAGTTTAAATATGCATGCATGATAACATGATATAATGTTCGCGAAATGATTTCTCACCTTGCACACATTCGTCGAAGTAGTTATTTCATTTTTCATATTATTTTGATTATATTGTTGATGAGGGCTGTAACTATCATCAACATCTGTACTTTCAAATGCTTGAGGGAAAGTATTAGCAGTACTAACAACATTGCCATCTTCGTGCTCGACCACGGTTGGCATAGGAGGCGCATTTTCCCATACTTTTTTTACTGATGCAATTTTTAAATTAAGTTCTGCTGTAGAAGGTGAAATAGTATTTTGGCCAGTAGCCATGTGTATAGATCGAGTCATTCCTAAGCTTTTGTTTTTGTCTTCTGTTAATTGAGAAAGATCAGAATCAAAAGTGAAATCCAATTTCATATCTGCATTATCTTCATTTTTATTAAATGAAAGAGGCATTTGAATTGGCTCTTGATTTTTATCTTTTATTAAATCGTTAGGTTTATTTGAAAATGCTACAGGTAAACTTTGTTGCTGTTGTATGGTATTACCTTCTTCTTCCAAATCTGTACGTTTTTCAACGCGTTGCTGTTGAGTTTTCATATGATTCGGAAATTTAGTCTTTACTGCTAAATCAGAAGGACCAGCCTTGGTAGTTTTTGAATAATTTGTATTCTCAAAAATTAATGTTTGAACAGGAGGTGAAGATACGTCAGAAACTGAACTTTTTTCTAGAAGTTGTTCTTTCAAACTTTTGCCAACATTTTTTTCACCACTTGGTGAATTTCGTTGACTACTATTACCAGAATTTGTTTGTTCGTTAACTTCGTGACTATGAACGTGACTATGATCATTTTGTGTTGACAAACTTGATATCAATTGCATATCAGAAGAAACTGTTGATGAAGAATTTGATTGTAATTGACTTGTAGTGAACGGTTTATCCCAAGCATTCACAGATGGTGGAGGTGCGGGGCCAGTTGATGAATCTTTACTGAAATTATTTGATGAATTGTTAATTTTGATTGTATCATTCGCATCGGATGTGCATATTTGTTGTTGTTGTTGTTGTTGTTGTTGTTGCTGTTGTTGTTGTTGTTGTTTAGCTAAACGCTGTTTTTGGAATCTAGGTGCAAGTTTTTGACTTCTCGAAGTTCTATCATATTGTTTTTGCAAAATATTTGTAGGTTGTGGAATAGTTTGCCCAAGCAATGGCGGTATATTTTGTACTTGTTGCAAAGAAGTTGTTTGCTGTGAGCCACCATTTGCTTTTGATTTTGAACGGTCGCGTTCTCTATCTTTTTCTTTTTCACGTTTTGCAGGTTTTGTTTCTTCTTTTGAACCATGTCTAGATTCTTTTACGTTTTTCTTTGAACGAACTTCTTGAAAACCATCAGAATCAACTTTATCTTCAATGTTAGGAACATCCTCAATGCAATTATTTATTTCCATTTCACAATCGATCATTGGCTTTTTCTCTTTTCCTTGAGATCTTTTATTAATGTCATTAAGAGCTTGACTAACTAAATTAGAATCGCTTAATTTTATTTCATCTAAACGATTCACTGTAGTATCTTTTGTTATCGATTTATTTGAAATCGATAAAGTATTTCCAGAAGTTTGATTTCTCGATCTTCCATTTTGTATTTGAGTGGTTTGTATCAACGGTGGAATACTGTTGGAATGATTCTTCTGATTTGCGAAACTGGAATTCTGTAGATTTCGTTTTTCTGCGCCAGGGGCTCGGGATGCTGTATTGGAAGACTTTACATTTTTTTCACGTTGTTCACGATTATTTCCTGCCTGTTCATTTCTACGTGAATGCATATTTGACGCTACAACATTTTGATTATTACCCGTGTTTGAACGAGCAGAAAATTGTTTATTACGACTATTACGTGATTCTTTGTGATCCTCTATGTGATCTTCACTATTCTCAGATGTAGTTTCCCAATCTTCATTTCCTAAATCTGAAGATGTTTGCTTCGATACATTACTACCACTGCCACGGTAACGCAATTCTCGATTATCTCTACCCTATAAACATAGAATAAAATCAAATATAAATTCATGATATGAATAATGAATAATAAATAATATTATACAAATACAAATCAAACGTTTTAACAAAACAAAATATTCAAATCATACGTAATCATTAATCTTAATAATATTTTTGAGTAAGATAAATTTTGAAAGAATATCTAATTTTTATATTTTTTATCTGCAATTATATCTAACGCATGAAAATAGTCTTTAAAATATGATAAAAAACGATATATATATTTTTATATATATATATATATTTAAAATACTTTTTTTTAAATGTAAGTTATAAATG